CCCTGCTCTTCCTCATCTCCCGACGAGCCGACCTCCTCCACCACATAGTTCGGAAGATAAGAAACAGCAGACAATCAACCTCTCCAAAACCCATACGGTTAAGAATGGACTTCAATTTTCCATCTCCCTTCGACAAGCCGACCTCCTCCACCACATAGTTCAAAGGGAGAAAAGATAATTGGAGTCCAATCAAAGGATTGAAAGAATGTCATCAGATCTTTTTTGACGACGCGTAGAAAGGATACGCTTCCTTTGGTCACAGCTCAAACCAATCCCTACCCACTATACCTTGTCTCATGCTGCCTCCACCGAGGAAAATCCCGCGGCCCCAACATAAAACAGATCCCCTCCCCTCCCACCACCACCTCCGCAACGACAACCAATCCCCTCCTAGAGGCTGCCTTTGCCCACCCCTTGTCCCTATCTGCCCCCGCTGGGGTTGAAGGCGACCWACTCTCCAACCCCGGCCCCAGACTCAGACAATCCCCAATCTGCCCTAATCAAGATATAGCTAATCAGGATGTAAGTATTTATGACTATTGGATAATTGGGTAGCCGAAAATGGTACCCTGAGACTAAAAGGTTTTCAGATTGATATTAATGTTGATGATGGTAGTGATAATGATCGAAATATTACAGATGACTATTTGAGTAAATCGGTAGCCTAAAGATAGTGGTGGCGATCAACATCGCCTACAGATGGTAGCTGTGAGGATGATAGTGTTGATGATCGTGATACAACAGATGATAGCTATGAGGATAATAGTGCTGATGATCGTGATACTACAGATGGTGAAAATCACTATACCTCGCCCGGCGTACTCGAATTTCATGGCGCACCCTGAATCTTCGATATCTCATGATCCACTAAGCCATTTGATCTGAAATTTGGACCACCTCAGCTCCTCGACATAGACCACCGGTGGTCCAATATTCAGGTCAGGGCGCGTGCCCAATCGCGCGCAATCATCGAGCGCGCGCGCGCCATTTTCCTTGCTGCGTGCAGTTTTCCAGCGCGTGCTGTATTTTTTTTTTGGATTTTCAGATGGCGATAAACAGTATCCTAAAGATGTTGATACTGGTGATGACGACCAAACTCACCTACTGATGTGAGAGGCAAGCCAGGCCTTGAACCGCAATATCTAAGGGTGACAAAATGATGATGATGGTAATAGCGGCAGAATGCTGATACTGGTCATGTTGAAGAACAAAACCCACAGCACGCTATGCTTACACATTGATGATGCTGATGCTGATGCTGATGCTGATGCTGATGATGATAATGATGTCGATGATAATGACTATAACGACGGTATTGGTGATGATGATGATGATGATGATGATGATGGTGATGATACTGATTTTGAAGATGATGATGATGATGATGATGATGATGATGATGATGGTGATGATGATGATGATGATGATAATGATGATGATGATGATGATGATGATGATGATGATGACGACGACGACGACGCACAGCGCCCTGCGATCACGAAAGGATGATGGTGATGATAAATCACCTCCTGTTGATGACGTTGGTGCTGCTGCTGGTGATGATGATGACGAGCAGCACCCTACTGATGATGATCCTGACAAACCTTGATGATGATGCGCCCAACTGATGATGATGGCGACCCATTTACGGGATGATGATGACGGTGACGAATCGCTCCCTGATGATGATGATGACGATGATGATAATGATGAGCAATCACCAAAGGATGATAGTGACAACGAATCACCCCCTTGATGCTGTTGATGACGAACAACGCCCTGCTCCCTGATGATGATGACGCCCAACACCCTGATGATGATGATCACGACGGTAATGCTGCTGATGATGATAATGATGATGATGATACTGATTTTGAAGATGATAATGGTGGTGATGATGATGATGATGATAATGATGATGACGACGACGACAACCACGCACACGATGACGTCAGTGCTGCTGCTGGTGATGACACCGACCAACCTTGATGATGATGATGACGAGCATCTGCTCGATGACGAACAGCGCCCAACGGTGTGATGATGATGACGCCCAGCGCCCTGATGATGGTGATGATGAGCCGCACCCTGATGATCATGTTGATGATGCTGATACTGATGCTAATGATGATAACGGCGACGTAATGATCACGAAAAAATGATGATGGCGATGAACGAGGACACTGGTGATGACGGGTAGTTACTTCACTCGCACTTCGGGTTGCCCAAGGCTCTCTCCGCTGAACTCCACAGGCATCACCAGAGGCGACACCTCACAGGCTCTATGCCACGAGCAGAAACGCAGCAGCAATGGAGTATGGACGCGGAACTCCCAGGAAGCCCCCGGGAGTCAGTCTAGTCTCCCTATCAACCTGTGATACGGTGTAGACCAGCACCTTTGCTCCCCGCACATGCGCAAAACGCTTAATAAGTAGCCGTTGTAAGCCGACACCCTGTCCAGCAACTCCTCCTAACCCCACCAGCGTCTCCGTCACGCCATCGCCATGCCTTAGTTCGTTCGTATGGACACTTCAAAGCGAAAGCGGTGTGAACTAGACACCCTCCCGCTTCGCCGCCTCACTCCGCCGCCGCGGTCGGTGCCGGGGCGCAGCGCTCCCGGTAGCGCTGCGGCCCCCCCTCCTCCTGTGCTACTTGAGGAGACCGTGGCGAAAATGAAGGTGTGGTATGACGTGGCTGTGGCGAATGAGGCTGCACGTAAGGAAGAGGAGGAGAACCAGAGGAAGATTAAACAAGAAGAAGAGCGACGGTTGAATGAGAAGAAGGAACGAGAGGCACTCAACAAAGAGCTACATGATGTGATGAATGCGCGGTTGGACAGCATGTATGAAGTCGTACGAGGGCAGAAGCAGAACAGCACGGCTGACGACCAGAGAATTGAGAACCTACTCAAAGAAGTGGAAAAATTGTGGTTGGCTTAGAGCTCGGCGGTAAGGAACGACGGCGCATCTACCAGCCGTCCTGTGGTTCGTGATGATGCGCTGTTAGCAAGAATTATGCATGAACATGAGGAAATGAAGGCGAAGCTGGATGCTGCGACGGCTACCAATCAACGTGTCGAAACCTTGGAAGCATCGTTGAAGTCGATCAAGCAGCAGCATGAAGAGGCCTTGCAAGAAGCTGAAGACTGGAAGAAGGAGGCACTTAAGTCTAGTAACAAACGCAGTCGGATGGCGACCTCGCCTTCATCACAGTTGAAGGTGCCGTCATCTGCAACTCGAAGGTCGGTCACAGATACGTCTCAGTTAACACACTTGCATACCCTTGTTCACTCTTCTTGTGGTGTCTCGTCATCTAGTCTTATTCGTATTCTCAACTACTGTCGGGACCACCTTATCGATCACGTGGCGATTGTGTGTAGTGGCGGGCCTTTATTGCTTGATAAATGGAAAGTGTTGCGCCGATGCTATGGTTCGTCAGTCATCTCAGTTAACAATGACAGGGACCAGTTGCGATGTTCAAGAGGCTGGTTAGCTGGGGGCGCTGTTGTCGTCTTTGAAGTCATTGTTCCTTTCTGCAAGAAGTCTCTGGCTCTTAAGCCTAATCTTATTCTTCTTCTCAGTCATCCATCTTCGCGTCGGCAGCTCGCTTCTTGGTGTTTTCGGGATCTGGTCTATGCTTATTCGGCAGTTCGCTGTTTTCAGCAGAAAAGGACTCGAAGCAGACTGCGGACCATTTTGTCCAAAGTCATTAGCCAGACGTTTGGAATAGAAGTTCGTCATTGGTTAGTTATTCGTGTTGTGTATGATGACTTGTTCTGCAGGACTACTATGCGCAACGTTTGCGCTCAGTTGGTACGGAGGTTGGATATTGACTCGACATGGATGGAAATGGTCATTTGACGACTGAGGGTTGTTTGGTGTAGAAATCGCACAGTGGGCGATTTGGTCCACAATTTTCGGACAGTGGCAAGGAATGGGGGCTTCCTGTGTGGCTGTAAGAATGCTGATTCACTGTTTCCTCGAGTTGACGGACACGTGTCCTTCCGCATCAATTCTGTAGACTGTTTTCCTTCTTGCATGCAAAATTCTAGGAATGTATTGAGACCTGTAGTGGGACATTCGATCTCTAACCTGAAGCGTCAAATCCTCCGATCCTTCCAAACTGTTGGTAGTTTTCCTCCCCTCCATCTCGAATTGTGTGACAATTCTCTCCTCAGCTCTTGTATTCTCGATCATTCTACGGTCGAACGGTCTGAATTGGTCTTCTCCGAGGAAGAAGTTGGTTCACAGTTGGCGAGACTTGCTGGTTTAGTATGCACTCCTCTTGACCACAATCCAGGTGACACGTTTGTTTGCGGTCCTGTCGTTTACGGTGGAGGTATGAGTAAGCTTTTTCTGAGTAACGATTCTTTTGTCTCAATTTCTACTCCGGAGGATGGGATTTTGTCGGCTTGTAAGAAGCAGTATTCTGATAATAAGTTCTGTGAGATTGGGAGATGGAACAACAAAGGTTCATTTGGCAATGCTTATTGTTTACCGAAACATAAGGATGTTGGTCGGTGGCGCCCTATCTGCCCCTCACATTCCGACTGTTCTGCTGTTGGTGGGAAATGTGTAGGGAGGGCTATTAATTGCTTGTTGTGGAAGCTTCCTTAGAAGATGCATTTTAAACTTCAATGTACGACGGACGTGATGGAAAGTATAGTAAGAATCAATAGCGGATTGAAGGATGTTAAAGAGATGTTCTCAAACTTACCACATCCCTCCATTTTTCGTGTCGTCAGCTGGGTTCTTGATTTTTGGACGAGTGAAGGGTTCGCTGCTGTGGTGGTGTGTGCTTATGGTAAAGCAATTAGATTGACACGTGGGAAAGGCGAACCAGGCTGGGTTCGACTCAAATTTTCGAAGATCATGGCCTTTGTGCGGTATGAACTCTGCAACACTTATGTGATGGTCTCTGGCCGTTGTTTCAACAGACCGTGGGTATCCCAATGGGGAAAACCACGAGTCCGGCTCTTGCATGTCTTCTCTGTGCGTATGATGAGTTCAAATTTCTGTCTTCTCTGGGCAATGACAGGTTGTTGGTGCACGGCTGTAGAATTGTAGATGACGTTTCATTCTTTGTGAAATTCCGCTCGTCTGACCCTCGATCTCGGATGACAGCAGTACGGATCATGGGGAACTTCGGTCATGTTACGACAAGGCGTTGGTGTTGGAGCAGACCAGTACTTCTTCTGAATGGGAATTTATTGGCTGTGTATTGATGATTTTGGACAATCCATGTCCCGTGGTGTGTAGGGCGACCAACAAGAATCAGACTGGCAAGATCAACGAACCTCTGATATTCCAATGCATTCAGGAGTATCACTCCTTCTCTAGCAAGCAACAAAAACTTGTTGTTATTGGTTCATTTTTCCATAGGGCTAGGACTTTCACCTCCATTCCCGATCTGGTACTACCTTTTCTTTTCATGCTGAAACATGAGTTGTGGCTCCGGAGATATCCCGACCTCTTCTTTGATCGAGCTCTGGTCAATTTCTCGAGAAAGTTCTCTCATTGTTGGGACCATTGGATTCCAATTCTCACCAACTGGGGCCGTATCGTGAGCAGTGTCTAGGATGCTGTGGGGTGTAGCCGTGTGTTTGAATGAGCCTGACTAGGTCTTGGCCTCGTTGATATTTGTATCGTGAGATCTACGTAGCATAATAAGGGGCTATGATGTAGGGCCCTATTCATTTGGTTTTGTTGTTCGGACTCGCGGGTTTCAGTCCCGGTGTTCTGATGGGATGGTCCACCGTGCTAACTTGCGGGTTACAGCCCCGGAGTTAACAGGTATGGGACCTTGATTTGTGTCGTTGCGGGAAACGTTGTTCCGACTCGCGGGTTCCAGTCCCGGAGCGATTTGACCGGCTTGGCTGTTCATAGTGGTGTCATTTTTTTGGCCTGGAACAGTCTAGAGACCGGTAGTAGGCGTACTKGTGTTTTCGGCTGTGGTCGGGTGTTCGAATCTTGGTGTGCGGTTTCATGACTTAATGGACTTGTTATCCCTCGGTAGTTTCTAGGGCTTTCTTTGACCCTTGAAGATTTCYAYTTGAAGTCTACAGGATATAAATAGGAGAAGTCCACAACTGTTGGACATCTCACGAMGTACGACCAMGACCCCTGATGAGTAGCCGGTGGCGGCCRGCCGAAACTAGTCGGGTCATACCGCCTGTGCTTCATTGATACRTTTTTTAATGTCGCRTTCGGGAGTTTTCGATTTTATCCTGTGTCTACTTGTCTTCTTCCTTTCTCTCTCTCTCTCTCTCTCTCTCTCTCTCTCTCTCTCTCTCTCTCTCTCTCTCTCTCTCTCTCT